CCTTTCCGCCGGCCCGCCCTGGCACCATGGCCGCAGGCTCGGACAGCGCCTGGTGCTGAAGCCGCCTGACCAGCTCCTCTGTGTAGACCTTGAACAGGGGGGTGGGGTCCTGTGGGGAGGGAGGGCTGTGAGCCCCCCGCAGAGCCGGGGTGGGGGCGGGCAGGGCCGGGCGCTACTAGTCCACTAAGCAACTGGCCAGGGGCGCTGGGGGAGGGGGAAGCTGGGCGCCCCTTGGTCCCTGCCCTGGGGTGCCGTGCTCCAGACACACAGGGCCCCTGGGGAGGCTGCACCCCCCAGAGGTTGCGTCTTGAGATCTGCAGACGCGGTGCCCGGCCTTTCTGTCCAGGAGACTCCCAGCTGGCCAGAGGGGTGGGGGCGGGCGGGGCCGCGGCTCTCACCTGCTCCTCCAGAAGCCTCTGCTTCTCCAGCGCCTCCTCCAGCGTCAGCCCGACCCACTCGGCCTCCGCCTCTGGCACGGCAAACTCCTGGGGACACAGGGGCGCGTGAGGTGGGCGGGGGCCGGCCGGGCGGGGCGGGGGCCGGGCCTCACCTGGTACTTGCGGTAGATGGCGGCTCGCCTGCCGGGGTCCTGTGGGTGCAGCTGGGGGTCCTGGCGGGCGAGGCGCAGCAGCATGCCCCGCTTGAGGTCCATGCCGAACTTCGAGCACAGGTCCTCCGGCGGCGTCTGTGGAGACCAGCGTGGGTGGGCGGGTGCCCGGGCCCAGACACGGCAGGCGGGAGGGGGGCGGCCTGGCAGGACCACGGAGGGCGGCGCGACACCTGCCTTGAGGATGTAGAAGTCGAACCCGAAGGCCGCGTCGATGAGGTCCAGGGTGCGCATGGTCACCGTCACGGCGAAGGTGGCGTCCAGGATCTCGCTATAGAGCTCGCGCCGGAACAGCTGCGGCTTCCACACCTTCCGCACGCGCTTGCCGAGCTGCGGGCGAGGCGGCGCCCGAGTCCCCGCGGCCGCCCGGGGCCAGGTGGGCCCCGCTCGCAACACACAGGCGCCCGCCCACACCTGCTGCCCACACCTGCTGTCCCGGGGCGGCCAGTCTGGGCCCCCGCAGGCACCTCCCGGCCGCCGGCAGAGCAGAGGGCCGCGCGCTCACCTTGTCGTCCCCGAGGTACCTGTAGCCCAGGACCCAGCCTTCGCCGCCCCACAGCCCCAGCTGCGACTCCCGGGGGTAGTGGACCGGGATGGGCACGTCCTGCACGCGCTCGCGCTGCCCATTCTTGGGGTTGACCTTGAACGGGGCTCCGTGGGGCCGGTAGTGCACGGGCGTGGGCGCCCGCGTGTCCTCCAGCGAGCGCAGGTAGTGCCCGGGCAGGCGGGCGCAGATGCCGTCCCGCAGCCGGAGCCGCTTCCACAGCGCGACCGGGAACCGGTGCAGGGGCATCGCGGCCGGCC